CACACACACACACACACACACACACACACACACACACACACACACACACACACACTCACACACACGCGCGCACGGGTGCGGGAGAACGAGGACCATTACAGCACCATGTCTTGGTTGGCTGAGAAGTCTGTGGGACGGTGGGACTTCGGCACAGGGAAGTCCTTGTGAGCGGCGGAGATGTGGGTGAACGCTGCCACCGGCAGTGCATAAATGGTCTCGGGCCAGCATTGATTCTCCACGGATTGTTGTAGCTGTGAAAGGTGCTGTAAGATGAGCGATCCATCCTTCTATTGAATAGTGTCCATTCAGGCCCTTCAGGGAAGTCGGCACGGAGTTTTGGTTGTGCAACGAAGTTGCAGATTCGTGTACCTTGGTTTATGATAACGCGGGCTGTCTCAGTGTGATTTGTGAAAAGTCCGATCGTAGTGCAGTTATGGAAAACCAATCTTCTACTCCTGGCTTTGCACGCGAGGATGACGGTCGCAGTGTGGGTGTAGCGCATGCTGGGTATCACATTCAGCCATCGTTAGTCTTGAGCGCATATGCCAGCGACGACTGCATTGATGCAGTCAGGCAACAGTTGATTCGCCGTGCGCAAGGCATGCAATCCTCCACCTCACCGTTGCTGCGTCGCTCGGGTTTGGAGGGAAGTGTCGTTGGCATGCAGCCTTCGGATGAATACATGGCATCTGCCACTCCTCATCCGTTGGTCAGTGTGAAGTCTATAGGTCTCTCATCTCCATGCGCCCAGGTGCACACTGACGTGGCAGATGAGTGCAGGGTAGACAAGAACAGTCTCGAGGAGATTGCTTCTTCTCAAGTAGTGGCGGCTATCAATCTGTCTGCTTCAGTTGATGACTGGTCAGGATCGCAAATTCCATCACACCGTGCACATCAACAGAGTACAACAACCAACCCCCACCCTCTTCCATGCACAGCGATCTCAGCTCCGGCAGCCTTTTCGTTGCCTGTTCTTCCTCCCACACTGGCCTTTTCGTTGCCTGTTCTTCCTCCCACACTGTCAACACCGATACGCACTTCCCCTGCGATCCCCTCCACACCTTCTACTCCAGCGGCGTCCTCTCCCTGCTACCCAACTCCGGTAATGCGAGATCTTCATGCTGGACACACTGACATGCCACCTCCCTTCTCACCTCTACTGTCCCCTCCTCAAGTGAGTACCATTTGTCCACGTGTTCATGTCGGGCACACTGCCACGCCACCTCCCTTGTCACCTCCACTGTCCCCTCCTCCCTTGAGTAGCGGTTGTCCAGACTTTAGGGTGTTGTCCAATGGCAATGGGGCTGCTGGAATTGTGCATCGCCAACTTCAGTTCGAAGAGTTGGACTCAGGGCTGCCAAAAACGGTTTTGGAGAGTAGTCATGTCCTCGCGGCAGGGAGTGGACTTCGTGTCCCGCCCGTGGGTTCCACAGCTCATCCATGTGGCAACGATGCCCCTGCCGCAGTGGACATGGATGCTGTTCTGCAGAGTAATGAGAATGGTGAGAAAAAGCAGGGGGTCGGGGCATGTGGGATTGGCTCGGGCGGGGAGGGGGTCCAAGGCGGGGTACATGTCGCCGATGATGTCGGTGTCAACGATGCTGCGGGTAAAGATGCAGGTGAAGCTCCCGCTAAGAAGAAACCAGCAGGTGTCCGATGGGGAGAGGACGACACGCTTCTCCTCTTGGAAATCCGTTGTAAGCAGCTGGCAGCAAGAGCTGAAAAATCTGAGAAGCTGGGCAATGGCAAGGGGGTTGGGAAGGTGTGGGATGTCGTGTCGAAAGAGATGGAAGCCGGTCGCTGGAAAAGGGAAGCGGAGGAGTGTAAAAGGCGGTGGAATGTCGTGAGGCGGTGGTACAACAAACTGGAGGACAACGACAAGAGGAGTGGGCGTGCCAAGTACTTCCGAATGACCCCGACGGAGAGGATCGCAGCGAACCTCAAATTCAACTTCAGGAGGTCATGGTACGATCTCTTGGAAAGGTATTACGGAAGTGGAAAAAGTAAAGCTCTTCACCCCGACCATGTACAGGATCCGGGGGCTGAGGAGGAGAGTAGCCCCCCTGTGGCTGGTCAGGAAGCCGTTCAGGAGGGGGCGGGTGAAGGCGGAGCACAGGAGGCAGCGGAACAGCGGGCAGCGGGTGGAGATGCGGGCCCTCCTCGAGGGCCATCGGCCAGCTCGTCTTCCACTGTCACGGCCGTGACTGATTCCACACCAGCGAGTACTAAAAGGAGGAAGACTGTCAATGCTCGCGAACAGACTATGCACGTGCTGAACACCGCCATGAGGGAGCAGACCCAGGCTATTCGCGACTCTGCCAACGAGCAGAGCAGGGTTAGCAACTCTTGCACAGAGCTTCACTGCAACACCTTGTCTCAGCTATGTGACCGCGAACTTGCTGGACAACGACAAATGAATGAGCTCACATGCACCGTCATGCGCAAGGATATCACATCCCGTGAAAGAAGTGCCGAAAAAATGTGTGCCAGCTATACGCTTCTGGCTGGTGCGCTTCGTTCGTTGAGGCAGCCTCGTTCCCGCAGGCGTGGCGGCCGTTGAGGGTTGTGCTTCTGTAGTTGGCGTTATTGTGGTATGTGCAAGGATGCTGTGAATGTCGGAGGGTGACAAGGACGGAGACTCGAATAGAGAGAGTGTCCCAGTAACGGGGGGAGAGAGAGAGAGAGAGAGAGAGAGAGAGAGAGAGAGAGAGAGAGAGGAAAAGTACGATGATATTCAAATAACGACAGCCCACTTGGCCCTGCTATTTCTAATTTGAGCTGCTTTCTGTCCGCTCCCACGTTGTCCATATGCGGCGTTTCCTTTATTGACATTTCTTATTCGGGCTTGTTTCTCGGCTAATTTAAGGTGTACGGCATATGCTCATGTCTGGCAGAATTGTCAGACCTTGGGCCGTTCGATTCTTTCACCCTGCCAGGCCGCTACCGACACACCACACCTCCTCTGAGCAGCCCCCCACTCCCTTCGATGCCCCCCGGTCGAATACCTTTCCTCAGCTGCAAGGTACGGCCTGCCCCACGGGAAAGTCGCTGACTCCCCATTTTTTTAATGGGAACCCATCAACCCCCCCCCCCCCCCCCCCTACAAAGCCCCATCCCCCCATTCCCCCACCTCACCACCCGGCCCCCACTCTGCATCGTCATTCCGTGTCGTCCCATTGCTCGCCCCTCGACCTGCACTATGCCCTTTGTTCTCATGTGTGACATTGTGTGTGTTCATGATGTCTTTCCAGGCACAACCGTTCACCCAACGGCAAACGCCGCGAAAAAATAAAAATAAAAAAAAACAAGAGTCGAGGCGATAGCACGTATAAATCGCTGTCATGACATTGGGTTTGACAAGCACCAAGCGACGGTCCGCTGCTGCATTCCGTGTGCGCGCGCGCGTGTGTGACTCTGTGTGTGTGTGTGTGTGTGTGTGTGTGTGTGTGTGTGTGTGTGTGTGTGTGTGTGTGTGTGTGTGTGTGTGTGTGAGAGAGAGAGAGAGAGTGAGAGAGAGAGAGATGGCGGAGACTGAGGAAGTTAGGAATGGGATCGGTGGGAGGAATACATCCCCTCCGCGCGATGTTATGTCCATGAAAACATTGGCCACACATCCCCTCCGCGCAATGTTATGTCCATGAAAACGTTGGCCACACGTGCTCAATCTCGCTTGGATAGATCGTAGGTGGAGATTGGAGGTGTTGTTATAGCAATCATCGCAAGGTATGAGCATATGGAGCAGCAGTACGCAATGGCGTGGAGTGAGATCGAACGACTTTCCAATGACAACGCCAGGCTGGCTATGGACAAACAGCGACTTGTTCGAGGTGTGCATCCTCTGGCACGCGAGCGCGATGCAGCAAGAGCAGAGGCGCGGCAAAACAGAGAAGTCGCCCACCCCACTGCCGATGTGAGGAGGCAGCTATCGGGAATGCAGATTCATGACGGTGTTCACTGTTCACTCACCTCCTGTTCCTGTCCATACTCTCGAAGCCGCAGAGGCTTGCGGATCGTGTGCAGGATGTCGGACCATCCACTCCAGTGGTGGAAATGGCGGTGGACACGGGGATTCAGATGTATCGTCCGCCTTCAGGCTAGCGGATTGTGTGGTTAACGTCAGCAGTTGGACTGCCCGCACCAACTTCAGTGAAAGGTCGTTGGAAGGAAGTCCGTGAAGACGTGGACTTCGCATACGAAAGTGTGGTTTGTTGAACTGTGTTCTGTTATGCTCAGGCCAGTCAGAATTGACATGTAGAGTATTGATAGAGTCTGATACACTTCTGCCGACTCACGGCTGATATGCTTGAGAGAGAGAGAGAGAGAGAGAGAGAGAGAGAGAGAGAGAGAGAGAGAGCACAAGCCGTTGATGCTGTGCAGTTTCGGGATGAGTTGATGTTGCAAGAACATTGTGAAGTCGTTCAAGTCGTGCATGAGGGACGTATTTTGTACTTTTGTATTTTTGCACACCGAATGGATTTCTTGCGAATGACTGTCTCCCTTTCGAACAAGCCTCCACGCTGCCCCCGTCATTTGTAAACCTGTTGCTATTGTGACCTGTTACTTATTGCTTCGTTCAACTTTGTTGTGTGTTCCTTTTCGCGTGGACCCCAGAGTTCGTTTTTTTTTTTTGTTCCCTTCTTTTTCATGTTTTCATCGTCAGCGATGGACGCCTTTCCGGGATGAAGGACCCAGTCGTTGTGTGCCGCACTTTTCGTAGTTATACTGTGCTGGCGCCATGTTTTGTTTATCTGATGCTGCTCGAACTGCCTTGCAGTGCTCTCTCTCTCTCTCTCTCTCTCTCTCTCTCTCTCTCTCTCTCTCTCTCTCTCTCTCTCTCTCTCTCT